ATCAGAGCGGATTCAGAAATTAGCATCAATTAAGCAGGATATTGTGGCGTCAGTGCGTAATCGCGACACCGTAATGAGTTTTTCAATACTCAAGGTTGATCGCACAACATCAGTTGCAGAAAAGGCTGTGACATTCTTCCACGCAGGAATACCCAGTAGGCAAAGTAACACGGTTCGTGTTACAAATATCACTAAAGATGATTACGAGGTTGAAGTTCTTGCGAAACCACGTGGCAGCGAATCAGGGAGAGAATGAGAGGCAGGAACTTCAATTGCAAGACTGTAATATTGAGTTCGTGACGGCATGTGCGATGCAGTAGTGCACTGTACTTGAACTTAGAGGCGGTCGAAATTTTAGTACGCCATATATTTCTGTGACATCTATCAGAAGACTAATATTGCAGATGTGGCATGTATCATGAGACTTTACAAATGCAGAGAGAGAGAGAGAGAGAGAGAGAGAAAGAGAGAGAGAGAGAGAGAGAGAGAGAGAGAGAGAGAGAGGAGACAGAGACAGAGACAGAGACAACGAGAGAGAGAGAGAGATGATTCAAAGTTTCGCTTGCGTATTTTTCAGGAGACTGATGAGAATTTTTTGTGTGTATTTATCAGGAGACTAATTCTGACTATTTATCAAGAGATTGATTCCGTCAGCATGAGAATTTTTTTGTGTATTTATTAAGAGACTGATTCTGACAATGACGACCGTCCGCCATGTTCATATTGTATTTTTCGGAGTCATCTCGCCATGTTCATATTGTATTTTTCAGATTCATCTTGTGATTTGTGCGGAATTATATGATCGTAAGTCGTTTTGATGTTCTATATAGATCTTAATAATAGCATTCCTCCACACTCTTCTAGTCTTTTCTTTCAGTGGTTGTATGCAAGTGTTCTTGACAACTACCTTTTCACGGGTGATGGACAAAGAATGTGGTCAATACTGGTCCTTTCCAATCTTAGCTTATTGTGTCGAAACCGGTTTCGCTGTCAGTTTTCATTTTTTTAATTTTAAAGTTATTCCGGTGCTGGGATGATTGACAAAATGGGTATATGACAAGAGTCAATGTCTTCTACTGGGATGCATGACAAAATGGATGTATGACAACAGTCAATTTGAGGTATTGGAGAGATGAACAGAAAAAATGGGTCGTAGTGGTGATCCAATGACTAGAGTCAATTCCTGGTACTTAGATGCATAATAAAATGTACATATATCGTGGTTTGTTGTAGAATAATATGATCGTCCGCCATTTTCATGTCGTAGCTACAATAATAAAAATCATCCACCCTCTTTTACTCGTAGTTTCCAGCGGTTGTATGCAAGTGTTCTTGACAACTACCTTTTCACAGCTGATGGACAAAGAATGTGGTCAATAGTGGTCCTACCCAATCTTAGCTTATTGTGTCGAAACAGGTTTGACTGTCAATTTTCTTTGTTTATTTTATTAAACTAACCAGTAAAGACAAAATCACCATAGATCTCGTGCCACATGCATCATAAGTGCAGAACATGTATATGACGTGGTTCACTAATGTGAGCAACGACAAACGCACGACGGTGAGAAGGAAAAAAAAATGGCCCCTACTACTGAACCAATAAAGATACTCTATTTCAGGTAGTGGAAGAGAGGACAAAATGCTCATATCCAGACTGCAATATCTTCATACATTTCAGTGTCTGCGTAAAATGGAAGAGGAATACGGGTACGGACACTAACTAGGCAGCATCAATAATGATCGCAATTCGCCACAATGCGTTTTGAGGCCGTTTTGGGGGAACCGAGGGGGTCCACCTCCCATCACGACTTCAACATCTCGTCCAATGTTCAACGGTTGATCAACAAAATTTCAACATGCTGCCAACATTGGGTTCAACACTGGCCCACACGCTGCCAACAATGGGTTCAACAATGGCCCTCATACCATCTCATGTGTAACATAAGTGAAAATTGTTTTTTTCCTTCACTTCCTGTGTACCACATGACATGTCCCGAGGCGAACAAAAAATATACACACAATCAACAGTTGGTTGTATGCATCGACATACGCTAAACTTTCGATGAAAAATCACACATTTTTTCTGTTGTAAAATATAACCATTACCTTCCTCCCCCCTTCTCTGTTGGCATGTGACTAACTCATCCCTCACTCACTTGCTAATTGTCAATCAACTACAAGGTTCATTAAATATAAGTATTCGACGAACACTCAATGTATAGTATTCGGTGACAACGTACTTTTTTAGGTAAATGAATATACAACGGGAAAAAAATACAAGCCTACTAATCAATCGGATATGTCGAACTTTACGTGGGGGAGAGATAAAGGCAGAGGGGGGGGCTGGAAGGGTCAATTTTATGGTATGTGGATTACTTAAACAACTAATAAGTCATCAATCATAATCATACATGAAGAGTCATATTATATACATAATAAATTTTTTCTTCGGTAGGTGCATATATTTATCTATTTAGAATGGACGTGTTTGGGCTCAAAGTATTTAGACCAACTTACAAATATAATATTACTAAAGTTAGTAGGAGAAAAGAGTTAGAGGGATAGTAAGGTGGATAAGGATAAGAAAGTGGTACGTACAGGTTTGTTGGAAACTGTTGAAGGATGAAGGACAAACTATTTAAATCAGCAATCCTCATCTCATATATTTTGAGTGATTTATTAGAAAAAAATATGTATCTCATTTTGTTAAAGTTCACAAACAAAAAATCATCAATCATTGTCTTATATCATATGCTACACTCTATCCACAACAAAATTTTGAAGGTCGGTACGTGCTTAGAGTTTGAGCCGGAAAGAATGTGCTTAGGCGAAAACATTAAGCACCTACTAATCACAGGAGCATTGTCAAAATCAATGTGATTGCGAGAAAAATCCAAAGAAGGAAGGGAGATGGGGGAGGATGTGCACATATCTATACGCTCAAAGAGGCAAGGAGGTAGACGAGAGACTTGACATAATATCATCGCAAATTCATTTCAACAGTTGAAGAAAATCATGGCGCAGACGAAGAAAACGTACATGCACAAAATCTCTCACCCTTATTATTTTTTTGATGTTTTTGTATTGCGAAGATATATAAACAAACATTTTGTATGTATTAAACCTCATGATCTCCTCCTCCCTCCCCCCCTAAATCATACGCTACATCGAATTTTTTTATATCAGGGATAAAACTTGACATAGTGTTTTTATTTTATTTTTAACGCAACTGCTCGTGGCTTAGATAGTTGAAAGCAAAAAAAACAAGTTTGGTAAATGATGAAATATATTGAAACATTTTGTCGATAAACATTTAGAAATTTTCGCCTATGATTTTAATCACAAATTAATAAGTTTGCAACCTGATAAATTATGATCTTAGTAAATCAACGATTATGCCAAATTATAAACGTGTCCATCTCACCGACTTTTATTTTCTGTTGTCGCCCATCTCATCGTCCACGATTGTCGGAGAGTAGCTGGTTGGAGAACTGTCACTAGAGAAAAGTGGTCGAAGGATTGGCGTCAGTCGAAAAGAAGTGTCGGCAGAAGGAAGGGGGAAGTGTTGAACATAGGGATAAGAAACTACAGCGACTACTGCAAAATATGACCCATCAGTGGTGACTATGAAGAAACGATCAAAATCACGTAGGTGGCGAAGCGGTGCACAAATCACCGTTTTCTTGAGGGCGCGAAAAACATTTTCGCAGTGGGTTGTCAAAAAGTATGGCAGTTTCTTCGGGAGGAGGGTGGAGGTAAGGACGTAAAAGCAGATGGCATATCCTCGGATGAAGTTACTGTAGTAACTCGTAAGTCCGAGGAAACAGCGAAGCTGCTTAGCTCATGAGGGGACGGACCACTCTACAATAGTAATGATGTTTGTGTCGTACATGCGGAGACCTTGATGAGACACACGGTGTCCTAAAAAATTCACTTTGCTTTGGGCAAAGCGACACTTACTGAGTTTGGAGTAGAAGTCATGCTTACATAAGTGTGAAAGGATATCGCGAAGGTGTCTGAGATGATCTTCTAAGGTACGACTGAAAACCAAAATGTAGTCTAGGTATACGAGAACGTAGTCTTCAAGGATATCCATGAAGATATTGTTCATTGTGTTTGGAAGGCGGCGAGTGCGTTGGTAAGGCCAAATGGCATCACTGTAAACTCGTAGTGGTTGAAGCGCGATATGAAGGTGGTCTTCAACTAGTCCTCTACGACATCGAGGATTTGAGGGTAACCACTACGAAGGTCGATCTTCGTAAAGAAGTGGTTGCCTGCCAAATGGTCAAACAGCTCGTTGGCGCGAGGCATTGGATTGCTGTTATTAATCGTGTAACGGTTAAGCCGTGGTAGTCAATATTGAGGCGGATAGTTCCATCCGCTTTGCGAGTAAAAAGGACAACACAACGTTATCGCAAGTCGTCAGTTGAGCACAACGAACTATACGAATGGCGCGATGCATCAAAAGTCTAAGAGGGGAAGGGTTAGATGTAGCAGCCTGCTGAGGGGCAGACGTACCTCGACATATGGCGGGGCAGAGGGAACTACGTCTGTCGTGTTTTGAGAATCCTCTGGATGGTAGCCAAAGGGGCGAACGGCAACTAAGTGGTCGGAAAGGCTACCGACGAGGCCTCAGCGGTACTGTGCACTGTGGCTAGCTGGATGGCGATGATGGGGGGGCGCTGGGGGGGGACTATGATCAACGATGACGAGAAATGTTGGTATAGTAACGATCGAGGGCGGATCGTTGTGGGCACTGTGAGGACGTGTGACCATCCTGGCGGCAACTGATGGCGGCATATGGAAAGACAAAACTTTGCAGGAGGTCCACCTGTGGAATGGCGAACGTGAGCGTACCGGGTTGTAAGCACAACTCATAATGAACATGGTCAGTCACGAGGGATCAGCCATCGGGACAGTCTTATCATCCAAGTGATACTGGATGGCGTCCCGAAGCTTGAGGTCCTCGGGAGCGTCTCCAATGGTAGAGTTAAGCTCGGCTCAGGGGTCATCGTCACACTCAAGCGCATTGTAGCGCTGAGAAAAGGTAATTGTGGGCCGAGAGATTTCTCACAAAAACATGTCATGTCTCGTGGACTAGATGGACGGATTAAATGCTTCAACCGAGGAAGTTGGAGAGACCATCGACATCGGAACAGAAGAACTAGTGGAAGCCATGACGGGAGTTGATGTGACAATGTCGCAGCAGACAAACACCAATGCACAAGAAGGGGGGATGGAGAAGGAGTGTGGCATAGGGGCGACAATGGATGTTGGGATACAAAAGATGGTGATGGGTGATGATGATGAACTTGGGAGAGGTCGCAACAGCCATAGCACAATCGTGATTGGTAAAGAAGTGGCGGACAGGCAAGATGTCGGGAAAGTGCACTTCCGTATGTTGTGCATTGTGCCTAACGAGAATGTTAGAAGGATAAATGTCGGGGAATGTTTTCAGTATGCTATCAATTGGGGACCTAGATGTATACAACCTGGCATCATTATAGGTGAGTACTGCTTAGCCTTCAAATGTCGAGGAAGTTGGATGCCTTATCAACCACCCACGCCGCTGACATGGCGCAATGTCACTGCGGCCATAGTTTTGGACAGGTTGATCAGACTCAATGACAGTGCATCTCTGTCAAATGTCTCACGTCTTTCTCTCGACATGTGGAATGAACTCTCGGAGGCGGGTGATTTACGGCTCAATGATTTCTTGTATGATGGTGTGGTTTGCCGTGAGTCATGGGTCATGGAAGAGGACACAGGAAGAATGAATGTTGTGACTGATGTCAACGATCCTAGAAGGGATGTGCAATGGGGCTGGGTGCCGTCACAAATTCCTTTTCGTTATGGTCATTGTAAGATTCTTGTGCGTTATCTCATGGGTAATTGTTGGAAGACTACGTACGTCAATGACGAGTTCAGATGTCGATTTTTTGACAGAAAGGTGTGTGCACAGGAGAAGGATGCCATGACACATGATGGTCATAATGCTGGTGACTTTTGTCCACAACTTGCCCACTCTGTGCGCATGGAATTGTCGGACGACAAAGTTTTCAGAGGGGCTGAGAGCGTGAGGTACGAGTTGTCTATGGAAACACAAGCTACATACTGTGTACAATGCTACGGCATATGAGACCCAATGGTGACAATGGAGGTGTTGCGGCTGGAATATGACATCGCAGACAGTGCCATCGATTTGAGCAAATTGCATGCATACGTGTCGTCTCACATATACGTGTACAGTGTTAAGTGGATTCCAGGCGTCTTGCATTCAACCATAGTGGATGACAAAGCGACCATGGCAGCAAGGTTGAACTCTGGTCACTGGTTGCCCATTGTTTGGATGCATGCAGGACTGTTGGAACATTGACAATTCCTGGTTGTCCTTGCACATGTTTTCATTTGCAACACGCGAGTGAAGGATAAGCCAAAATTATTCTTGTTTTTTAATCGCATCTCAGTTACAATTTTGTTTGTTAACGTTTTTTTTTTTTTTTATGCTTTTCTCTCGTTACCCTCTGTTGTTGGTCTGAGAGTGGGTCTGTCGCGATCTGTGTTTAGGCTACTAGCTGCATGGCCTCGTAGTTCGTGAAAATAATGTCAAGTTTTATTTTAGTGTATCCTTAGTCTCTTGAAGAAGCTGAACAACTTTTGCCTCAGGGTGACATCGAAATTCGTTACGAATTTCAAAATGGACCAAGGTAGTTGTGGCCTTTCAGGTCACACATGGACCTCAGGGTGACATTGAAATTCGTTACCAATTTCGAAATAGACTGATAAGTAGCTCACGGTGACAACGTTATTTGTTACCAATGGATGTTACACATGGACCTCAGGGTGACATTGAAATGTGTTGCCAATTTCAAAATCAACCGATGGATGTTTTTTTTTTTTTTTTTTTTTTTTTTTTTTTTTTTTTTGGGGGGGGAGGTTGATAATTGAGGAGGAACCAATGGGTGTAGCTTAGGGTATAGAGCATCTGTGAATTGTTTTACCACATGACTTGTCCCTCGATGAACATAAAATATACACACAACCAACAGTTGGTTGCATGCATCGACATACGCTAATCTTCCGATGAAAAATCCCACATTTTTTCTGTTGATCACCCAACAACCCCCTCCAAACAGCCAATGTCGCGCGACACCCAGAAGTCTCATAAATACAAGTATGCGCGGGGTCGCTCACATATAAAAATAGGATGGATCGGGTAATAACAGCGGAAAACATAATTAGGCACAAAAACGAAGAGTTGAAGAAAATTGTGAGGATTAGGTTCCTTTTAAATTTTTTTTTGTTTACTTCTGATTTTTAATACCGTCGCTAAAATAAATCAAATTCGGACATCGACTCTGTCACAAAAACCCACTCGCACCGAAGGCCTCATGTACGTTTGTAACGGAGCGTCAAGAAAAAGGAAAATAAAGACAAAATAGACCCCCATAAGTAGTGTTTAAAATATTATAAAATAGTAGGTTGAAATATATAATAGCAGGGGTCGTGTAAGTGAGTGGAGGGGCAGCAAACAGCTGTCGACCCGGACAACCCGTTTTTCCGTCACCTATCCGATAAAAGAAGAGTACACAATCGAAGTAGTCGACAGACGTAGACTCCTAACAATGGAAGATGTCGACAAAAGTAGACTCCTAAGACCCTCGTTTTGGGTGGCCGACTGATCTGCGACCGCTCGATAGTGGTCCCTCCATCGGCCTCCGCCGCCCCGGGCGCTTCGGTCATTGCCGTAAGTATTGCCACCCAAATACCGGTATTTGACCAAACAGTCTCATTTACTCATCTCAGTGTTACTTCTCAGCTATCTGCACTGGTCGTGTCATTACGGCGCGGACCTCTCCCTCCTCCTTCCATCTGTTTTTCCCACCTCATGGCACCCTTCAGTTCGTTATTCCTGTCCCCTCGTAGGTACCCTCTTCGACTCCTCCACCTTCGACTTTGTGCACCTAACGAGTGGCTATCTTGCAGGCCACCTTGGCGCAGATCCAGACGGAGATACCTATCATGAGACAACCTCACCCTTTACAGGCTGCTCACCCTTCTTCTTCCACCCCCTCTTCCACCTCTGTCATTCCGGTTCATTGCCCTCGATATGCTCCCCTTCCTCCGTCGTCTTCCCTTACCACTCTATCAGCAGCCCGCGATTGTTGCGTCCACCACTGCTGGTCTCCCAGCCAACGGGTATGCCCCACAATTGGCACCCACTTGTACCCCTGCACCGACCCCGACTTTTGTCGTCGCAGTGCAGAGACCTCAGCCTCTCTCCTCTCGTCGTCAACACAGGGGACTCGCCCCTTGTGCGCCTGTTGGCTAAACACGACTATGATGGCACCTTCCATGTGTTCCATGGATTACAAATAGTTACGCGTATACTGACTGTGAAGGCTACGAGTTAGGAGTTATGGTGCTATGGTGCTCTATGCTCACAACGAAATTGTGAGGTAACTCTTCCAACACATGGGAAGGCTATTATTCACATCTGGTCTGCACAAGTGAGCTTCCCACTTTCATGGACTCCACGATCTTTCCTCATGACCACTTTGGTGTTGGCACGATGTGATCGACGCTCTAGATCGAGTCACCCAGACGCGATGGTCCCGGTCCTCCGCATCGTCCGACTTGTAGCGTCACATCCTGGTGTTTGAGAACGCCCTCCTTACATGTGATGAGACATTCCTGTCGGAGGTAACTCTCATCGAATGGTTTCTTGTCAGCCTCCCAGAGGACTACCGCATCGATCTATGGCGACAAACATTCTCCTCGGTCGACAAGACCTACAAGGCTGCTCGTCAGTACCAAATAATGCACAATTGTTTCTCCTCACCCTGTCCTCTTTGCGAGGCACCACCACCTAGTCTCACGATACCAATCGCGACCAATACTCGTTTGTTGGTTATTTCCACCGCTCGTTGGTGGAGAGAGAGAGAGAGAGAGAGAGAGAGAGAGAGAGAGAGAGAGAGAGAGAGAGAGAGAGAGAGAGAGAGAGAGAGAGAGAGAGAG